AGTAGCTTCCTCCAAAGTTACAGGTGCTTTAAAGCGTAGAGTTCAAAGGCAGTGGTGTGCTTAGCTCAGCAGGGAAGGAAGGCCCCTATGAATTTCAGAGGTATAGGATCATTGCAATTCTGGGCATTGCTCCCATGTCTGGATGACTGCAGCACCCCCCTCCCTGGCTCCCTGGCTCTAGTCTTAACCCTCTCCAAGCTGTTTTCCACACAGCCTAACAGTTTTTCTATTCTAGTATAACAAATTACCACAAGCACAGTGGCATAAAGAAACACCCATTTATTAGCTCACATTTCTGTAGGCAAGGAGTAGCTGGGTCTCTGCTCCGGGTCTCACTAGGTTGAAATCATGGTGTTGCTTGACTATGGTCTCAGCTGGAACTTTGGATTCACTTCCAGGCTCATTCAGGCTGCTGGCAGATTTCAATTCCTTTCCATTGTAGGACTGAGGTGCCATTCCCTTGTTGGCTGTTACCCAGGGGCCCTCTCATTTCCTATAGGCCATTCCCATTGCTTGTCACATGGCCCCAGCCAGCAATGGAGAATCATGTCTATATTCAATTTATCAAAAGAGCTCAGGCTGGGCGTGGTGGCTCACACCTATAATTCTAGCACTTTGAGAGGCCAAGGCTAGTGGATCAGTTGAGGTCAGGAGTTCGAGATGAGCCTGATCAACATGGTGAGACCCCATCTCTACTAAAAATACAAAAATTAGATGGGTGTAGTGGCACATGCCTGGAATCCCTGCCACTTAGGAGGCTGAGGCAGGACACTCGCTTGAACCCAGGAGGTGAGGTGGAGGTTGCAGTGAGCTGAGGTTGCACCACTGCACTCCAGCCCAGATGACAGAGCGAGAACCTGTCTTAAAAAAAAACAAAAAAGAAAGAAAGCTCAGTCCTTTTTTTTTTTTAATTTTATTTTTTATTATTATTATACTTTAAGTTCTAGGGTACATGTGCATAATGTGCAGGTTTGTTACATATGTATACTTGTGCCATGTTGGTGTGCTGCACCCATCAACTCGTCAGCACCCATCAACTCGTCATTTACATCAGGTATAACTCCCAATGCAATCCCTCCCCCCTCCCCCCTCCCCCATGATAGGCCCCGGTGTGTGATGTCCCCCTTCCCGAGTCCAAGTGATCTCATTGTTCAGTTCCCACCTATGAGTGAGAACATGCGGTGTTTGGTTTTCTGTTCTTGTGATAGTTTGCTAAGAATGATGATTTCCAGCTGCATCCATGTCCCTACAAAGGACACAAACTCATCCTCTTTTATGGCTGCATAGTATTCCATGGTGTATATGTGCCACATTTTCTTAATCCAGTCTGTCACTGATGGACATTTGGGTTGATTCCAAGTCTTTGCTATTGTGAATAGTGCCGCAATAAACATACGTGTGCATGTGTCTTTATAGCAGCATGATTTATAATTCTTTGGGTATATACCCAGTAATGGGATGGCTGGGTCATATGGTACTTCTAGTTCTAGATCCTTGAAGAAAGCTCAGTCCCTTTTAAGGGCTCACCTGATTAGGTCAGGCTCACCAAGGATAATCTCCTTATCTTAAAGTCGACTGATTTGTGACCTTAATTACATCTGCAAAATCTCTTCACTATATAGATATATATATATGTACCTATCTATACTCACATATATCTCAATTATATAATACATACTAATATACTAATATGTACTATGTATAATATACAGTAATAATATGTACTAATATCCTTATATATATAATATATAATTTGATATATGTACTAATATGTACATATCTAATATGTATCTATCATATAATATATGTTATGTTATATATTAGTGTTTACTTTCATTAACTGAGAGAAGATATAGGTACACTTCGGCTGGGAATTTGGGGAACTATCTTAGAATTTTGCCTACCATATAGTGCTAATATATGCTTAAAACTTTTCAGTGGATGCACTTCGCCAACTGAATAAAGCCCATGTTCCTTAGCATGGCATCTAATACTGCATAACCTGGCCTATGTAACCACACTTGTCTCTAATTACTTATTTCACGGCACTATATGTGCACCAATTTGTTCATATTTTTGTGACTTTGTATACTATTTTGTTTCTTGATTTTGAGCTTTAGCTAATGCTATTTCCTGTGCTTAGAATGCCTTTCCTATCTGTAGTCATATGAAAAACTGTTTATGACCCAGCACAGCTTCAACTCCTCTAGGGACCTTTCTCTGGATTTATTCATTCACTAAGCAAGTATTTATTGAGCACCTACTGTGTACTGTCCTAGGCACTGGACATGCAGTAGTTAATCTGACGATGTTACTCTGTCTTGCAGAGTTCACCTTTTAGTTGGGAAAACAAGCAAAACACAAAAATAACTATACAATTTGTCAAATGGTGATAGTGCTATGAAAAAGAATAAAACAAAATGAAGAAAGAGGCAGAAAGTGATGGGCAAGTTGTCATTTTATAAACTATCAACCTGTAATGCTTCTGTCATAGGTGACATTTAAGCAGAGACCTGAAGGAAAGAAGAGAGTAAACAATGTAGAAATATAAGGCAGAGCCTTGGGGGCTTTGCCATTGCTGTTTCATTTTTTCTCCATTATTTGCTGAATGGATGAATGGGAAAGGGGGTGCAGGGAGTATTCTAGGCAGAAGGAACAGGAAGGGTAAAGGCTCTGAGGTAGGAAGTCCTTCAGTGCTCAGCTAATGAACATTAGGGATATATATTGATTTATTAGGGATATATATTGATTTAGTACTGTAATTAGAGCTAAAACTAGAAAGCTCTCATGGTACAACTCTAGGGAATAATAAAGTACACTCGTCCACCTTCTTTCTCTCTTTTCCTCTCTTTCTGGTTCCACCAGCCAGTGTCAGATTTGTTTTCCTTTCTTTGCTCTGAGGCTTTTTCTGCTTACTTACAGCATCTATTGCTTCATGATTTTGAATTTCATATGCCTTGCCATGAACCCAACTCGGCTTCATGGTGCTTTTTCTTCAGCTTTAATTTATACTACCAACTGGTATAGTCTGCCTGCATAATTTAATTCAAATTTAGTAGACAAAGAACTTAGTTGTACCAGCTCATCTTTTTTTTTTTTTTTTTTGAGATGGAGTTTCACTCTTCTTGCCCAGGCTGGAGTGCAATGGTGCCATTTCAGCTCATTGCAACCTCCACCTCCTGGGTTCAAGTGATTCTCCTGCCTCAGCCTCCTGAGTAGCTGGGATTATAGAAATGCGCTACCACACCTGGCTAATTTTGTATTTTTAGTAGAGACAGGGTTTCACCATGTTGGTAAGGCTGGTCTCAAACCCCTGACCTCAGATGATCTGCCTACCTTGGCCTCCCAAAGTGCTGGGATTACAGGCATAAGCCACCGTGCCTGGCCCTCATCTTTCTTTTAATACCAGCAAGCCAAAGAATTAACTTGGCTCAGATGGTGACATTAGCGTAATTACCTGAAGCTTGGATGAGGGTGAGAGGAGGGAAGAAAATAAAAGGAATTGTGTGTTTAAAATGTGGCTGCTTAGCTATCAGGGTTTAGAGTGGACAAAAGTTCCCTCAAAAGACAGTTTGGTGAGCAGACACCAAATGACTTCTCTAATTCAGGAAATGAGACACATTCTTGAGGAAGATTGAAGGTTTACTGGGGAGCTTAACTTTATCAGCACTAAGAACAAAGAATCAAGAGTAGCTTGTGAAAAAAAATGGAACCAATATTCAAGAGTGCGGCAAAGACAAGTTTGGAACAGGAGAAGGCAGTGAGAAGTTGGGGAAGGAGTCTAAGAAATATCACCAATGGAGGCTGATCTGTTTCTTTTCAGTGGCTAGTATCTGCCAATACTTTATTGGGCAATGAAGGAAATAGGGCAAAGTCTCAAGGCCATATACATATAAAGAGATGTGTTAGACTAATCCAAGAGAAAAACTGCAGGGAAGCTGAGTGTTAGTACAATGACAGTTAGTATGTTCTGGCCCTCATTCACTGAAGACTTACTTGGTGCCAGGCACTGTCATAGATATCAGGAGTAGGGCAATCCTTCCCTGCCTTTGACACTCCCTGTCCCCCTTCCCTGATTTATCTTTGTTGCTCACCCGTTTAGCTTTCTGAAATACTACTGATTACACTTATTAATGTTTTATGTCACCCATCAAATCTAAGTTCCATGGACTCTAAGCTCCATGAGGGCGAGACGTTTTCTGTTTTGTTCAGTGTTGTGTTTGCAGCATCTAGAAAATGCCTTGTTCAGTCATTACTTGTTGAACAAATGAATGACTTGCATTATTTTTCTGAGTTACTTGCACAGAAATGAAGAGAGATCACATTTATGTCAAAAGGTGTCTGAAAACTAAATTATAATTACATGAATGTTATTGCACATGTAGGAACAGCACTTAAGACAAATTTTTTTCAGTAAATTAAAGGAAAACAACTACACTCAAAGGTAAAGATGTAGTCACTGGCCCACTTAAGTGATTCAGTCAAGACTTGCTGGCCTGCCATGAAAATTTGGACATGAACCAGTGCCTTTCAATATTCACTTCCTTTTCCCTCACTGAAAGGGAATTTGTTTTTAGCCCCTAAAATCTCAGTGGCTTAACTCAATACAACATATGCAATGCTGGGTTGCAGGAGGTTGCCGGAGGTCCTGTTCTTGTGAAGCTGCTCCAGCAGAGTCCATCTTTCTGAATAGAGATGTCCATGTGGACCTGATCCCCTGAGGCCCATTAAGCAAGATAAGCAAGTGCCCCTATCTTCTAAAGACAACAGATTCTGGCTTTAAAAAAAAAAAAAAAAGTCTTATTATGAAGGAAATTCCATCATATCAGCCCAGCCACTGACCTTGAACACTCAGGCCTTGCAGGAGGAGCTGTGCATAGTGTCAACAGGCCCAGTTTTTATAAATTCACCCTGTTCCTCATGGTGAATTTATAAATTCCTCATGGAGCAGGGTGAATTTATAAAATGTTTGCAGGCAGTGGTTGTAAAAGTAGGCAGTGCCAGGAAACAAGACATTTCCTGTTTTTCTCAAATTTGTAAAATTATAATTTCTGGGTAGACTAATTGACAAATTGGCTCATATAAGGAAAAGGAGTTTATTTATATGAGAATATTAAGAAAGAATATTAAGCATTATAAAATAACATTCTTTTTCATTATTATAAATATATGTCCATTATACATTTTTAAAAGAAAATACAGAAATGCATACGGAACACAATTCAGCAACAAGGACTCAAAAATATTTTCACTCATTTGTTTTTCTCAAGGCAGAATGGTAGGTGCTAGGGATACAGCAGCGAGGAAAACATAGGCTTCTTGCCCCCATGGAGTACTATTCAGAGATCATAACTGTTAAACAGTTAAACATGAAATTGAAATCAGTGTCTTTTGACTTGACTCCTGATTGTAAAGAACAGGGACCTTCTTTTATTTGCACACACACATTTAACTTTAGGACACTGAGGCAAATGGGCACAGCCATAGCTTACAGCTGCTTTGGGTGTAGCCTATTCCCAAATCAAAGTCACTCTCAGAGTGCATCAGACCTTCCAAATCAAGACACATCCATTGGACTGATATCATAGGTTATAAAAAGCAAATAAACAGCTGCATCCACAACATGATTTTTACTAAATTAACATAATTCGTAGCTATATTTCAAATGTGTGGATGCCACCCATAGAAAATAAGCAGGCAAGTGAATCATCTCAGTTTATTATAAAGTTTAATATTAAGCTGAATTCTTGACTAATGGTAAAACTAACATTGACATTAGCTAGATTCCAACTTTCAGACAAAACAAATAGGTTTCACGGAGATCAGAGTTCAAGCTCAGCCGAAAGCAGGGGAATCTCCTGTATAAAAGTTGGTAACATAACTCTTCCTTACTCTATGAATTCTGTCATAATGCTTTCTGTTACACTCTCATTTATTTGGTGGTTGGTACTAGAACTTCTCAATTCTTATCAGGTCAAGTAGAGTCCAGATATAGACCAAATGTAATAATAAATTAACATGGATCAACTTTTGTTTTTATTTTTTGAACTATTTATATGCATATACTAATATTAACAGATAAATTGTAAAGTTAGAAAGAGAATGCTAAGAAGAAAAGAATGGCTGTGTTGTCATGTCTTCTTTGTATTTTTAGCTTTTCTCTAAGACTTTAAGTCAAGAGAATCATTAAATACATTGGGGAATGGGAATTAGAAGGTAGGTGATTCAGGGAAACTAAATATCAGGTTGGAGACACCTTTGGCAGTGAGGACACCTAAATACCAGGTTCCAGATCCACAGTGCTGACTCATTCTCTGAGTTTCTTAGCTGAGTTGTTTTTTTTTTTTTTTCCCAGAGCCTAAATGGATTGTTCTCCATCAAGAGCTGAATTCTACCTCAATCTGTCTTTAGCTATCGAGTGAATTTTCATGGCTCAGAAATCATCTTTTAAAAATTATGATTATAAATTAAATGCTAGGGATGCTCAAAAAGAGTGGACTGTCTATTCAGAATATTGAGGATTGGAAGGAGTGTTACTTGAATTACTGGGATGTACATTTTCCTGGCGTTGAGCAACTGGACTTTGTATCCGCTGAGTGTCTGCCCTTCTCCAGAAGAGGCTGCCTTTCTCTGACAGTGGGAAGGCGTTTCCTTGCCTGTGAATATGACTGAGGATGAAGTATATTAAGATGTTCAGGCTCACCTGGTGTCATTTATGAAGGAGTCAGCTGCCCACATTCTGAAGACTTAAAGTGGCACTCCTGGAAGTAGCAGCTGGTATGCATGTGGCTGCTAAACACTGACATCAGCCTAAACTGCAAAAATAGAAAGTACCAACACCAAACATTAGCTTCGCATTTGGATGGAGGGCACAGTTATCACTTCTCTTTAAGGCTGATTAATTATACAATTTACATGTAGCAATCACTTGTAAATTATAAGCAGCAGGCAACAGATGATACTGTAATTGTCTGCTCAATAGTAATTTTTTGAGAGAGGCTTTCGAAATAGAATTGGTTTATCAAACAATGTAATTAAATAGGCTTCAAAAAGAAAATATTTAAACTCTTCTTATTGCCCTACTTTACCCTTTCCTATCTGGCCGAGGGAAGTCCTTTCTTAGGGGTTGTAACTACTGATTTCCAAGTGGATTCCAATGTTGTCTTTTGATGTAACATGACTTTATAGGTGCTACATGATATGCAAAAATAACCTTAGTGTGTTCCAAATCTAGTCAGTTTTTAAATTTTTCTTTTTTATGTCATCTATGTTTTTAAAATCGTAGAAACTTAAAAAGAGAATTGAGGGAAATCTCATCCAAGGAAAAATCTTATCAGGGGTCGTGAACCAGTAAAACTTTATGCCAATCAAACATCAAAAATCATTACCAACATAACAACAGCAACAAAGCCAAACACGTTTCCACGCTAGCCAACCAACCAAAATGTATCAATACTACAATATGTAAAATTCCTACAGGTTAAATTTATACAGTATTTTGATAAGCTGATTCAAATTTTGTATTTAACTATGAGAATGAAATAAAAGCATAACAGCAAACAAAATTATATTTCTTCTGTACTCTACACTCACCCTGAGAAAAACAGCCCCTTAAAAAAAAAAAAAAAAACGACTTGAGTGTAGATGGTGAAGAAATGTATAGTTTTCTTGTGACTTAACAGCGTTCTGACCTGTAATGTGTTAGAGATGCAAAATGTTTTATGATTATGAGTTAGCATTATTACCTAAGACTGTTTTGAGTTAAACTGGAATGCAGTATCAGCAGCTGGCAGTGAATGAAGAATATTCACAAACAATTTGTCATGCACTCCACTCCCTGGAATGTTCCATCTTTCTTATGACACATCTACTGTCTTGCCTAGGATGCTCTACACGGACACTGGAAAAAAATAAAGAACGCTGGAACATACCTAGTGATGTTCGAGGTTATTTACAGTTAACAGAATATGCTGTAAATACCCTTTATAAATGAATCAACTCTTTCTTGGGTTTAAAAATAATAGATATCAATGTGGCATATTGGTGAACAGCAGAGTCTTTGGAGCCAGACAATCTTGGGTTTAGTTTAAATCCTTCCTTTGCCACTACTTATAGTTGATATTAACTAAGTTATTTGAACTTGTTAAATGTCAGTTTCCTAATCCAAATAAATGTGAATCATACCTGTTTCATAGGGTTTTGCCTAACATAGTAGCTTGCATAAAATCAGCAAGTAAGAATGATTAACTGAGATGATTTCTGGCTATTTATCTACCTGTCTGTTTCTCTCTCTCTCTCTCTCTCTTTCATCTATCTAGGGATGTGTGTGTGTGTAAACATGTGAATACAGTATCTGCTTGGCAAGAAGTCAATACAGGATGTTGCATAATGGTCTTAGGGCCTTTCTTGTTGCTATCCTCAATCTGTAATTCTTCTCTCCACGTTGTTCAGCTGTCTTGTAAAGTTCTTATTTGCAAGCGACAGAATCCAGCTCTGGGTAATGTTAACAGACAAGTAAATGCAGATATTCAGGCTCACCTGGAGTCATTCATGAAGGAGGTATTGTAAATTTGGTACTCCAGAAAGATACTGCTGGAGGTGGTGTAAATTTGGTATTTCAGAAAGTTAGTAAAACCACTTTAGAAAACTTTTGGCATTGTCTATATTGAATAGATGCAGAGTCTATGATCTAGCAAGTCTATTCACATTTACAAACACCATAGAAAAATGTACACATGTGTACCAAAAGGTATAGATAAGGATGCTTATAGCTGCATTATTTGTAACAGCTTCAAACTGAAAACAGTACAATGTCCATCAATTATGAAATGGATAAATTGTGATATATTCACAGAATGCAATGCTACCCAGCAATGAAAGTGAGTGAATGAGAGCCATACACAATGGCATGATGAATCTCGGAAACATAATATCAAGGAAAATATTGCAGATCTGAAGAATAAATCCTGTATAATTTCATTTATGTAAAGTTCAAGAACAGGGGGAGAAAAATGATGGTTTTAGAAATCAGGATAGTGCCTGCCTTTGGAGTAATGATTCATAGGAGAAGTGGAAGAGTTTCCACCAAGATGGGTCTTGGTTGGCCTTCAGGTTGCTAAGCAGGAAGCCACTTGCCCCAGGGAAGGTAGAGATAGTATCTCTGTCCTCCTTGGCCCAAGAGGTCTGGGAAGGCATAGACTACCTTGCTTGGAGATACGAGAGGAAAGTCAGTCCTGCTAAGGGACATGATTCCTTGTCCTGAAACATGCCCTATGTGTGCTTTTTAAATTTTTACCTTTCATAATACAATTTCAAATAAAAATGTCACTGGCATTCATCCTCTCTTCTAAAATAGATCTTTCCATACATTTCTTTTTGTTTCTGAGAGGGAGAAGCTAGCATTTGTGTGGTACTTTACATTCTAGTTTGAAAGTCATGCTTATATGCTTTATCTCAAGGAGTATTGCTTTGAGAATGAAACCAAAGTCAAGAATGCCTCTACCACTGTGTCTTACCAGAGTGGCCTTTCCCAACGAAACTATGAGTTGATTAGGGCAGGTAAGAGAAATGGTAGTAGGGTTTTTATTTCCTTTTTAAAAAATCAGAAGAAAAAACGTCTCAAACCCAGATTCGGTGGTGAGTTTTGTGCTTTTCAATCCAAATGAAGTTTGGATAATGGATCACACTTTCTAATAAATAAAACAGCTAGTTTAACAATTAAAAAGTAAATGAGGCCAGGCACAGTGGCTCATGCCTGAAATACCAGCACTTTGGAAGGCCAAGGTGGGAGGATTGCTTGAGCCTAGGAGTTTGAGACCAGCCTGGCCAACATAATGAGACTCTGTCTCTACAAAAAGAAAAAAAAAAAAAAAATGAATAGCTACTTGTGGTGGCACACACCTGTGGTCCCAACTACTTGGGAGGCTGTGGTGGGAGGATCGCTTGAGCTCAGGATGTTGAGGTTGTAGTGAGTCTTGTTTGTGCCAGTGTACTCCAGTCAGAACAACAGAGTAAGATTCTGTCTCAAAGTGAGCACATAATGCTGTGGGATGAACCCTACGGCAGGTGCTGCCCTGGGGACCTCCACATAGGAGTCGTCTCTAGTCTTATTCTAAAGTCAGCCCAGGGAGGGCTCTCATGTTATCAAGAGAAGCACATCTATTGATAGGTCAATAACTGCTTTTGTATAACATTATTTTCATTCCTAAGAATTATAATCATAATCATAATTAAATACCTAAAACAATGTCAATTACATGGACAGTATTTTTAGGAGTATTTACTTGTTTGCCCCGTTAGACTGGTGATCAAAATGGAAAGGCCTGCTTTTGGCTTATAAATCACTGTCTTACAGGACATGTAATCAGGGAAAACCAAGACCCAGTCATACAGCAGATGCAATCTTGGGTGCCCCACTGCACCTGCCCGCTCAATTGCAGTCACTGGTTACTCCTGTCTGCTCTATTTCCTACCAAAACCTGATTTTAAGAGTTTATTCTCCCTCTGCCACGTTCTCCTTATTGTGAATAAAAACCAATGTGCCCTCTTTCCCAGGGAATTTTGCACATTAAGCCTTTTGCTAATTATTCATCCCAGAATGAGTGTCTCCCCACACCTCACCATCAAGAAAGTTCAGGTGCAGGTAATCAATGGGTGGGGCATCTTTAACCTTTGCACTTATAATTGCCCCACCTGTCTACTTCCTGGGTGAATTATGCTAATGGTTATCACTCCATTTGGGACGTCATCTACCAACTTGCCCCACTTAATTTCTAGTAACAGAAAATTTTGGGAAGACTAGTTAAGGTCTATAGTTTTTGGAAATGTTTCTACTATATACACTTCTTAGAAATATTAGCGTAATTCTGAGCAATCTTTTAGTTTCAAAGAGATTAAGGTATCTTCCACACTACTGTGTTCTGAGCTGTTTATCTTACAAGAATTAGTAAAAAAATGAATCCAAGAGTCACTATAAGAAAGATGTAAGATTATCAGCCAAAATTCATATGCTTGTGAAACAGAGAAAACCCTGAAAATGGGAGAACAAAGGCTTATTCTCTTTTCCTTAAAAGTTGCATGTGGCTATAACAATCCATGGATATTTCTTGTTTTTTATTATTTTAGCATTTCATAAAATTTATGCGAATATTGATTGATTTAATCTTTGAGAACAGAAATTCTGTTTGTCCGTATAGTATCAGAATCCAAAGCTTAACTTCAGCCTGTAGTTATTCACAGGTGCATGGACCACATGAAGCTCCCGAGCTTTTAGACAGATTGTTTTTGGTGATTTTGGAATCCGATCTGATTATCTCTGTCACTTGTATTTTACCTGAGCTCCTGATTTAGGAAAAGTGCTGCAATATATCAAGTATGGTTTGTCATAGGACTCTAACATTAAGATATATTTCACCTAGAAGGTCATGAATGCCAAGGCAATTTATATAGACAAACCAGTTTTTAAAACTGAATTTTGCCAGTTAGCCGGTTCCTTTTTTTGAGACAGAGTCTCACTCTGTTACCCAGGCTGGAATGCAGTGGCAGGATCTTGGCTCACCACAACCTCCACCTCCTGGGTTCAAGTGATTCTCCTGCCTCAGCCTCGTGAGTAGCTGAGACTACAAGCGTGTGCTACCACACCTGGCTAATTTTTGTATTATTAGTAGAGATAGGGTTTTGCCATGTTGGCCAGACTGGTCCTGAACTCCTGACGTCAGGTGATATACCTACCTTGGCTTCCCAAAGTGCTGGGATTACCGACGTGAGCCACCGTACCTGGCCCACTGTTTTCATTGCTCACCAACGGGATTGGTGA